GCTGGAGCAGCAAGAACGCAGCCGGAGAGAAGCGTCCAGTGAGCACATTAGCCCATCGTCTCACTGTCATACACTTTGGCGCAAAGTGCGTTGGCCCCAATACGCTCGACATGAAGGCTGTCGGGATGAGACAGAACGAATCACTCCGGTAACCCCCAGTGTCCTCATGGTGCCGGCCCCACACCCGGCCAACGGTGTGGCAAGAGCTCATCGGGTTTAAAGGTCCAGAACCCGGCGCCAAATCTCTTGCTGGGTAGGGCTCTTAGTTCCCGGAACAGCTCCCAGAACTTCTTTCGATGTGAGTCTTGACCGAAATGTTTGGAGCCCAAAAACAGTTCGCTCAACACCTGCCACACCGCCCAGGACATTCGACAAAACGGCACTGGACGGCGAGCAGCTCTTGCCTGAAAACCAGAAGAGTTGATGGATCGACTTGTCGAGATGACTATATTTATCTATCTATATCTATATATATATATATGCATATACATATAATCCCACAAGAATCGTTCTCCCGCAAGACTCATGAATGCCGGCTCCAGGCCATTTCTGCTCTTCCAGGTGAAATAGATCCACTGGAGGCAATGTAGCGGTACATCCTTTGACAAGCGAGCAGAATTTTGCGATTAACCTTCGGAATCCACCAGAAGGGTTAGGGGATGGCGCGAAATGATCGTGGGCTGAAACAGACTTGAAGCGGCTTAGCCTCAAGAGCAAAGTTGACCCAAAGAAACCCATGAACACTTAACACATGACGTTGGTATCAACAGCAATCTTGCCGTCTGCTGCACCATCCTGAACTATGCCATCCCAAAGCTGAACCGACAGGACCACCTCACATAGCATACTGCGCGGGCGCACACACACACACAAAAGAACGCGCTCACGGTATCAATAGTGCCTGGTCAGCTGTAGGGCATGGACCTGCAAATCAATGGGCAAATGAATGAGGAGCTTGGGCAACATATGAAATACTCTGTCATGAGAGTGATATGAAGAATCAGATCACCCCACCCTTGTGCCCCCTGGCATAACACCAAAGACTTTTGTCATCAACATGTTGCAAAGGGGCGAGTACACTCGGTGGGGTGGCTGAAGTCATATAGCCAAAACCAACCAGATTTGATTCCAGTTTGAGCTGAGCTGCGCTTGTCACGGTGAGTTCAGAAAAGGAAACAAACTGAACATAAGATTATGACATGATGATGCAAAGAAGAAACGCAAACAAAGAACATGTAACATGACCATGGTGGCAAGTGCGACTTAATAACTACGAGTAGAAAATCAAATGGCAGCGAAAGCATGCAAAGGTGTATCTCAATCATGTTGTGCCACCGCCAACTTGCAGGATGGAGTGCCACTGACGTAGGTCAGGATCCAGGCCCCGCTTGAAACAAAATACACAGGAAAGGGTTGAGTGGTCATTGTTCCAACCACCGTTCCACTCAGCACATCACGATCCAAACAGGGGCCTCTACATCCTCTACGAAACTCATACCTGGAAGACATCGAAAACACCCTCGAAAAGCGCCCGGACATGTGAGGCGTCAACGACCTCCCTTGGCGCCTTGCCGACCTCTTGACCCCGCCCCGCACGGTTGGTCGCCATCGCCCACGGCTCGACCCACTGGTGTCGTCGTTCTCCCCCCCCCAGAGGGGCCTGTGACATGGAGCTGTCAATCCTCAGCGCACGGTTTTCAGGTGGTGAAGGCCCAACCGAAGCCACGAAGGCCCAACCGAAGCGATGAAGGCCTAACGCTCCGTCTTTTGGGATGTTCTGAGACTGTGAGTGAAGTCCCCGGGAAGGCAGCCCAACTCCAAGTGACTGCTGGACTCGACCTGCCTCTCCTGGACAAATGACCCTTCAACTCATGGAGCTACCCGTGAAAGACACCGTCATGCTGAGTCATACTCGTCCACACAAAGAACGCATCCCATTAACAAGCACTAGAGCCCAGCGACTACATGACGAGACTGTAGAATCTATAAACGCAATGCGCACATCAGAAGCATCAAAAGTCGTTTCAAGCTCCGACCCGCTTGAAGCTGCCACCAAGTATTTCAGACTGTTGCTGCTGAAAAAGCTCCCATGTGTCCCAGTAACTGGCCGGTCTCTCCTACCTGTACATACAACTCCCTCAAACGCTTCTCCTAGACATTTTGTCCTTCCTGAATGTTGGCTGTTGATTGGTAAACCCTAATGAGGATCCATATGGAGAGGTTTCACCAATCTACCAAAGGGGCTTAAACATCAAGAGTCAACAGCATTCCCCACATTGAAAACTCTCTGCAGCCAAGGCTCTTCTTTGGGTTCATTCCCTCGCCGTAAGCCATGAATTCCAGCCCAAGAAAGTTCGATCGCAGCTTGCCTGGCACACCAACGAAATGGCCCCATATGCCACAAGCGCCCCCAATTGGACGGACGCTTTTGCAACATATAGCCTAAGTCCTCGCCCTAAAATTCACACACACAAAGTGGATGGATGGATCTGTGTATATCTAGTTCTTGCATGTTCTTGCAATCGTCACGAGCTTCACAGATCTCATTGGCCTAAGAAAGCTTCCTCATCTTTACCGCTGTCGTCAGTCTTGGACATGGTGATGACCTCGGGCACAGATTTCCAAGGCACCAAAATGCCGGGAGCGATGGCGGATCGCTTCAAAGCGAGCAGATGGAGTGAAATCGCATCCACTGCACTATCTTCACTTCAAACCGTATGGTGAAAGAAACTTCTTAAGAGACATCAAGCCAAACCACTGAACACTTAACACAAAAGCGCACAAAAGACCTCAATATCTACGGAGTAGACTATACTTTGGCACACTCCGACTCACTACAGTAACATGGAAGGAGAACCATGGAGAATCCCTCCTGTTTCTAGCTGAAAGTATAGTCTTCTCTCGGGCCATTTCCCACTTGCATGTCAGTTAGTTGCAGCATATCTTATAGCCAGAAATCAAGGTCCGCAGCTCGTCCACGTCTTTGCTTTCAGCCAATGTGACACATGGTGACACATGGTGACACAGTGTCGTTCCAAACATCCGAAGATCTCCACAAAATGAGTCTCACAGACTCACAGCTCAGGTTTGGACCTTGCAGCCGCTATCACTTTGTTGTGTCTACTTATTCTACTGCTGGATGCCTCGTATGGGTATTAAATCGGATGTCTTATGATGTACTAGGTATAGGTCCAAGAAGGATCGGCAAAAAATGCCGTGTTGAAGTCGTTGTTGCTCTATTTGAGGATGGATCATGAAGTAAACAGACATGGCTAGACAGCAAATATAATATATACTGTGTGAGGAACATACATGTTGATCCATCCTGGTCCTTCTAAATATTTGGGAAAATACCACAAGTTGTCCGGGCGTTCGGCATATTTTGAGGTCTTGTTGTTCTTCTGCTTCTTCGCGGCCATGAGGAACACCTGGGCTGGTCACAAGGAGGTTCTGCAGTCCATCAAAGTAGAAAGGATCAGGTCTGGAAAGCATAGAAAATGGTTCATGCAACGTTCATTTGGTTTCATTCATTGTACATGACATGGAACCAAACAACTGAATTGTTGCAGCATGTTGCAGCACAGTCCTTACATCTATTTCTTGCTGCAATGATGGCCGTGCACGCGGACACCATCCCTCGGTCGGGGACACCGGGGACCGGACTCCAGCATCAGTCTCCAGGATGTACTTGGGAAAGAGCTTGCTGAGACCACCCTTATCACCTGGATCCACCGGCGCCTCTAAAAAGGGTCACGGGATCACAACCACCCGGGGTTTCGCTGAGACACACCTCAGGGTTTGCCTTCTTTTTCAGGAGTGGGTTCTGCACGGACTGTTTTCCAAACGACTAGACTACAGCTGGTGCCTTCTGGGATTGGTTGATTAGAACAACATTGAAACATCTTTTTAAAACCAGTCGTCCTAGCTCCTAGCTGTTGAAGTCGCGAAACACCAGTCCTTGGTCCTTTAACAGGTCTGTCGTTGCACCGCCAGCCCAAACTTGTGGGCCCAACAAAGCTGTGCCTCTCTGGTTTGTGGGATAGAAGACTAGTTACCTGAAGACAAGCATCTTTTTCAGGAAAAACACACACAGCACTTCTGGAGGTGTTTGATCCGAGAATTCCGGCCCAGTGCTGTTTCTCTCTCCAATTCCAAGTATTGGCCACATGCCCTTATAACCTCAGCTAGCCTGATTGGCTACGCGCTATTGAAATATGCTTCTCCCACGCACGCTGCCCTGGAACTCCAAAACACCCTGCGCGCGCACACACACACACACACCTCATTGAATTCCATCTCAGAGATTCACAAGATACTTGGATTTGTTTAGTGACTCTTCGTGATGAATGATCAAGTCAAGCTGACATCTGGGCCTCCCCAATCCAAGATTTATTAGCCAATGAAACCGCACACGTGAATACATTGCACGAGCACCCCAGACTGCACGTGTTTTTCATCGCGACCGAGGCCTTCCCAGATTTGAGACGGCCCATGTGTGCCGCGTGTGGCGGAAGCAGCGTTTGCGCTGATTCAGGCGGAAGAGCGCAGCGAGCTGCGTTCGTGACTATGGTGGTGAAGAGCTTTCTTCAAAAGACTTTGATGGCAGGAGGATTGGGAAAGCCAATCGCCCCTACCAGCTTGTGCAAGAAAAGCATAGAAAAAGCGGTAGTTCCTTTGGGCTATCTCTCTCGCTGCACCGAACCCGCCCGGCTATTAACACACGTGCGCCGGAGACGGATCCTGCCGCAGGTCGCGGAAGAAGGTCTCCGAATTCACCGCGAGACGGCACACTCGACGGAAGTATTGATGGAAACCCTGAAGACGTGCCCATCTGAAGAAAGAAACAATAATTAGACTATCAAGGCCTCCTGGGAAGAAGGTTCCTAATTCAAGGAAGTTGCAGTTGAATGCCCCTCACAACAATCGCTCACCACTCCATGCATTTGATTGGGCCAATCTTCACAATCCACCCTTGCGAAGAACTTCATCCCCCACACCGCTCATCCCAGCTGCACCCGCGACATGCCGCGGTAGTAGCCCGGCACCGGCGTCAGCTTGGGGCCCTGGGAGTTGGCGTCCCTCAAGCCCCACAAGTACCGGAGCTGAGCCTCGTACCTCGTGCGGTCTGCGCGATCCGCGCACAAAAACATGCGTTGGAGCGCGGAGTTGGTCCAGTTGGATATTCTTGGATCCTAACGTCACTTAGACTATGACTACTAGACTTACTAGACCGTCGACCGTTTTCAGAGGTGCAGCATTTTGGTTGTTGAAGGTTGATGTTGAAGTCTGGCTGTGAACATAGAGGGAGTTTGGAATGGGTTCTTCGAATTGTTTCCCCTTGGCTGGTTACAAATTGTTGGTATCTAGGAGGTTTTCGAGCTCAGCCCTGACGTGGCGTGGAGGGGCTATGGCTGGGCCATGCGTCACATGCGGTGCCTTTTTGGGGTGCAACACATCATGGCTGACCAGATTCGCTTTGCTCATGCAGCTGTCTGTTCCTTATACCAGCCGAGGTCAGGGTGGTTGTTCTGGCCCAGATCGTATCGGTCTCAACATCCAGCGACACCACGGCAGCGAGGGTGTCTCTTGGGCTGCAAAAACACGGAGACACAAAAGGAATGCCTTCCGTGCTTTTCCCGTTGCTGGACGAATCCAGATCTGCGAAGCGGATCTCCATGGGATGATGGAATCACCTCAAACATCGAGGTCATCAGACCCACCATTGATAGGCCCATGGTATCGGTCTCTCCAGAGTCTCCAGGGACCATGCTGGTAGACTCTTCAGACCCACCCACCGATCGGTCAGATGTCACCGGGTGGCACAGCGTCCGTAGTCTCTCCAGCGGCGGTGGCCACCAGGTTGTGGAAGTCTAACCAACTCTGCAGGGAGACCTGCCTGTGGGCTTGGAGTACCGGTGCGTGGTGGAAACAACAGAACAGAAAACACAAAAGAACACAGCTGGAAAGCCTGAAATAAATCACTTGGTGTTCACATGATTGAATATCTGTGAAGGTGTTTTGCAGTGTTCTTTCCACACATCTTTTGACGGCTATAACTCGACTAATCACTAATCAATCCATCAGCAACTAATTAGTTGCAGCATCTTTAGCCGCATAGAAGCTGAAGTCCATCAAATATAAGAGTACAGTTTTTTGTAGTACCAAATGAAGCTTGGACATTGTAAAATAGTAAAATTAGGACAACATATTAGGTTATTAGGAACAAATAGGAAGAAAGGAGTCCCTGTGTAGTAGGTTCTATGTTTTGCCTAGGGCCTATGTTTTGTCCTATTGTTGGTGGTATGTTTTCCTATGTTCCATCCAAATGGTGTTCCTATTGTGTTTATGTTTGTGTTTTTGGATCGCACCCAGTGGAAGCTTAACTTCCTCAACATAACACGATTGTTAAAATAACATAAAATAACAGCACACCGCAGTGCTCAGGCAACATCACTCTCCTTCTTGGATTCTTGGTACTCATGAGAATCAACCAGTCACATGGCAATCTTTAGTATGGTGTGTTGTGTGTTTGATTGTATAATTAATTCGATTATGCGTCTTGTGAGGTCAGGTCTTATGAGTATCGAGGAAACAACATGTTGCCATTTGCCATTCAGCAGGCACCCCTTCAGTTGCATGAAGAACGTTCCCGTTTGCACACATGGTCGAAGATATTCAGGGACATTGCCGAAGCTGCACCACAGAATTGGACAGCTTTGGTCAGCAAGGAAGAAGCCTGATTTTATGTACACGTACCGAACGTTGAGTCTTGTCTGTTCCTTTCCTCTGATTTTGTCTGTACCAACAATGCTTCTTCGGACTCCGCTTGGAGTCACACAATGTCGCACCCAATGACCAAATACATTTGGCAAGTTAAGATTGGGTTGACATCCCTATCTCTTGATCCACACCCTTTTGCGCTTGGCCACCAATCTCTTTGGAAACTCCACCCTCTCCAAGCACCTGTCACCAAAGACGGTCATCGCCCCGGGCGGAATGACCCTTGCAGCGTCGCTCAGGTCCAAGTTGGTCGCGCCTGCCTCGTGGTCGCACCACGAGATACTCGTGGCGCTGTCAGGACGTCCCTGGATGGTCTACCCATGGCCTCTTGCCGTTGGTGCTTGGTACTTCTGTGTTTTGCGAACGATGCATCTGGGTGGCAGGTACTTTCCCACGTTTGCTCCTCCTCAAAAACATGTCACATCGAATGTCACTGTAGATCGAGACCGACAGTCGCTGAGCAACCGAGCTGTCGACCATCTCGACCGTCTCGACCCGTAGCTGCCTAGCCTCCCGAGCTCCCTGGCCTGTGTCTAATGACCGTGTCTATTTGTATCGGGTCTTCCTGAAATGGATTGAACTCTCCATTTGGAGCTATGCTGGATGGTCTCCGTGCAGTGTCTGTAGGGGTAAAGCAAATCATGTGTTTGGTGGTTGAGTGGCATTCTTTTGTGCAGGGGCATCAGCCTGTCAAAATCCTGTGAACAAGGTGTCTAATGATATATGTTCATGGTTTTGGAAAGGACTTTGTCAGTTGCTTGTATAGACGTCTATAGGCTTTGTCCATGTCCCATGACTTGGTGGCGCACTTCGCTTCGTTCGTCGACCTCTTCGAGCCGCTGCCGAGCCGCTCCGGCGAGGTCATCGAAGACCCGCAAGGCGCAGTCCTGCCGTACCGCCGTGGGCGCCTGGCGAGGGCGGGGTCGCGGGCATCCCGCCGTGGGCGCTGGGACCGGGATCACATCAGCAGGGGTCATGTAGACTCTTGAGGACTATAAACACCCCCTTTGAAGAGGTTGTTCAATTCAAACGGGGTGGTGTATTAATCAAGAGTCTACATTATGTAGGTAGCCTATCAAACAGGTTTATGTAGCAGGGTGGCATCGGAAGTTTGCAACTGGGTAGTGCTCATTTGAGGAATGCTCTTTGAAGAAAGGGCATTACACTATACAAACTACTTTAGAGGCCATACTGTAGCTGTGAGCGGCTGTGAGCTGCGGAATGGGTGAGAGTCCTTGTGCGCAAGGACCTTGTGAAAAGGATTGAAAGGGTCTCTATCGTCCAAACACCCACAGTTAAGAGGATGCATTGCATAGAATTATTTGTAAAAAAGGCTACAAATCACAAACAACACAAATAAAAACAAATATATTCACCATGGACCATTGACTTACTGGTTCTGGGTCGCCTGTGAAACGACGCAGAACCAGAAGGCCTGTAGGCAGTCCAGGAACGAGCGGTAGTCCACGCAATCGTTGCGGACAGCGTCCTGGGGGACGGATCACGAGGGTGGGGAGCTGACACCCGTTTCGCCGTCGGTCCATTTGGACCCTCATGTTCGGTGGTCAACCAGGGTCTCCCGGTTTTGGAACCACAGCCATTTGGACCCTCGGGTCCGGTGTGTTCATTCTGGCCAAGCCATGTCTCCGTCCGTGGTCACTGTGGAAGAGCACCAACACCAACCGCCGTGTTCTTCATCCTGCTGACCAAAACGCTGAAGCCCCCTTTCGCTCTTGTCTCTTCATCACTGTTTCGTTTACCAGATTGACTCCATCACGGATTTGTGTGTTGCCTATGCGTCCAAGCTTGGTCTGTCCTGGAAGATGGCGGACAAGGTGGCACGGTCTGGGGGCAGCATGCTGGGCAACATGCGTAGCAAGACCGCCTTGGATCCAGACTCGACAGGATAGGATGGACAGGTTCATTTTGTGGTCAAAAGCAGTAAGATTTGGGGCAACCCAAAAAGTCTGGCTTTTCACCACCTCAGCTCTACAGTTGAAACCTTGCCCAACGGCACAGCGTGTCTGGATGCTGCAAGCAACACAGGTAAACACGTAGACCATCCGGCCACTTGCAACAGCACAGTCAAAGCCAAGAGCCACCGAAAGCATACAAATGTCCAAAGCCGCGAAGCCACTGATCCCACAAAAAGTCAGGAAGTCACAAGTCACCAGCAAAAGGTGTAGAAAAGTCAAAAGCCAAGAGCCAGGACAAAAAAAAACATCTAAAAAGAACATAACACACATTCTAGAAACAAATCCCCGTTGCACCACTTGGGATGTATGAGACCCATGAACAATAGCTGATTTCCATGAGCTCTACATCAGTTGGAGACACAATCCCTGAAGCGGTCAACAACAACATAAACTACGGACTTAGACTTCAAGAAAAAGCAACAAAAACCTTGATGCAAAAAAACACATCCCTTGAAGTGCCTGGTACAAAAAGCTAACACCGGTACCACCCTAACTTCTTACCATACGGAGTCCCCGTGAGTCCCCCTCCCCCTTGGTTCCCACCGGTCCAGCACCAAGTCCCCAGTCTCCCGTTGAGCACTCGGAACCTCGAAGGTCTCCTTGGGCACCAGCTTGGGCGGAGCCTCCTCTCCACGCCTTCGCGAGCAGCGCGACGACGGACGTCGACGACGGAGCTCGAAATCCACCGGGAACACCGTGGATCTGGAGATCCGAAGATCTTTCGGTGGTTCTAGAGATGGGAACTTTATTTGCCAAATTGCAAAAGCAGAATGATAAGCTCCTAAAGGACCTGGCATTTGATTTTCCAACATGCAAATCCAGCCGCGCGAAGGCCGCATGCGCGCGGGATGTCTACATGTCTACGGCGCCTGGGATTCGGCACATAGGTGCGCACCACCAGATCTCCATACCTGGGTTGTCAGGATTGAACTCTTCCAGCCATGCTGCTTATTGGACTCCGGTGGAAAGGATCACCCAGCGCACAGCTGCCGGTGTGCTCCCCCCGCGTGCTGCGCGAACCGGTTCGCGCATTCGCGCCATTCGCTTGCGCGCTATTTGCGGCATCCCGAGCAGCAGTAAGGAAGCATTCCCCCGGCAGCATTGTGCTAAGCATCGACGGAGCGTGCGTAGTAGCCTGCCGGGGTGACGCTGTGGATCACCAGACCGACTGGCTGACCTATAGCTGGAAGCTCAAGGGACAGACCAGGGATCCCAGGTCTTGACTCATGCCCACATCCTGAAATCAAGGGACATGCAAGGATCTCTATCAAATAAGAACACTCATCAGCACCCATCACCAACCTGGCAAAGCAACCAGTCGGCATTGACTAGGCCACACCTATACCCGCCTTTGTCCAGTTCATCCCGCCTTTGTCCCGTATGCGCTTGCCCTCGCCGCTCGCGACCCCCCTGCTGATGGTCCTCGGTTTAACCATGAGATTGGTGTTTGCAGCAGAATGTCCATTCGTTTAGACGCACGTAAAACACCAGTCACTTGTCCAAGAACCGTGGAGGGTGACAGATGGGACGGCCCCTTGGCCTCTTGGCCCTAAGAGACGATGGGACGGTCCAAACGTTGGACAACATACATCCACATCAAGTTGGCCAAAAAGCGCCTTTCTGTGAAAAGCTGGAGTTGAAGGAACCAAAGTGTATCAGAAGCAATGGCCTCCAACCTACTACAGCCATGGCCTCCAACCTGGTGGCGATGGCCTCAATGGCCTCCAACCTAATAGCGATGGCCTCCAACGAAGCCTAGAAGCAATGGCCAGAAGTAAACAAATCATCTTGCCTTGCTGAACTCCAAGTTGCCAGGAAGGTAGGATTATGATGTTGATGATGAGGTATCACCCTGACCTTGGATTGCTCAGGAATGACCCTTCTGTAACCGCATCTCTGTAAATATCTCCGTTGTTGGTGTGAAATTTCCGTGCAGTTGTCTCACCTACCAAGACTCCAGGGAGAAACGTCAACAACTTTGGCGATCCTGTTCGACTTAATGGCTTGGGGGTGTGCATTCCAATAACAACAAATAGCAGCAGCTAAACGGCCCCCATGTCAGTGTATCAGAGTCACTGTCAATTCCTTTTGGAGGAACCCGAGGATGCGTCCAAAACTAACCCAACAAGTCCAGTTTCATAAATAGGAACCGGGGGTTGCATCATGTGGCAGAACTGGTTCCTGTAACATATGTAAAACATTTATAATGTACCTGGACTTGCTGGGAAGGGTAGGGGAAGCAAATCCACAAATCGACAAGCTGAAGTTCCGTGCCCAATGCGTTGTTTGCAAGGATTGCAAACTGCAGATATCGCTTCCACATACCAATGATCGCTGATCCACATCCATGGTTTGCTAAATTCATGCCCAGTCGTTTCAATTGTTTCTACATACACAAAGCAGTTCATCAGCAGGAGGAATCGGGAAAAACATGTACCCCAACTCTTCTTCCTTAGTGACCGCTTTTGGGACCACCCTTTATTGTGAGAAACCTGAACATTTTAGGCACAACACAACAACAAAGTCTTTTAAAACGCACTGAGGCTAGATGTGGTCAGAACAAGGAGTTTCGCACGGGCTTCTCGATGTACGTATTGTATTCGCCCGAGGTTGCCTTTTCGTCCACAACCGTTTCTCCAAAAACTTCCTTGAACAGCCAAATTCAGGTCCAGGCAAACATGTCTGCCCATTGATCGTCGTAGGTGCATGGTATAAATATATATTATATACAAATGTATTTATTACACATGTATGCAGTAGATTACAGTAGTATATGTGATGATATGTGAGTAGGGCGTAGGTAAAAAGTCATGGCCCATAGGGACGGCCAATGTTTGTGCTTCGCAACATGTGTCCAAGCAGCTCGTGCAGGCGTCCCAGCACTGATGTGATTCGGCTTCTCATCCACCTGGCGCGGATCGATATGCGATCGGATCCTGCAAGTCGAAAGAAACACGAAAGGTCTACACAGCACAGATATCAAGAGAAATTGCTGGTACATATCTGTATATTCTATTCAAGCACCATCACAAGAGTTGCATCAGCTTGGTAGGCTCCCCCAACCCGAAGGACAGGGACGTTGGTTCACGCCTTCTCGGGAGGAGCAAGCACAACGTGTGTTCCAAGAAAGTGGCGTAAGCTCCCAATCACGGTCAATCTGTTCCTTTTCGGAAGCTAGCTGAAAAGGGCGCTCCCAGGCTCCATCGGGGGTTTTAAACATTTTGCGGGTGCGTCAATTGGACCCCTCTGGGTTGGACCGTTTGACCCATTCTTTAGTTCATATTCTTGCAGGAAGGCCTCGTCTTTTTCATCACCGGCCGCCAGCAATGTCAAAATGATGTCGCACTATTCTCACTCCAGCTCAAGGATCCTGGAAGGCACCACTTCGTCCACAGCAAGTCGTGGACATGGTCAGGGTCAAAGAGCTGCAGCACGCGAAGGCAAACTCCCCGATGTACGTCACTGACTTGGGATCGTCACACTTGTCAAAGAGACACAATCTTGAAAGGCGCGATCACCAATGCCTCTCAATAGGTCGCACTTGCCAAGGCGCCACAATCTGCAAAGGTTTGTGTCATGTGTGTGACGGAGTTTGGGATGGCCACACTCTTGTTAAAGAGATGCTAGTCTCATCTGGACGCATAGTCTCCAATCTGGGTGCTCACCGATGGTCACACTTTCCAAGTAGGCATATGATTTATGCCCTGCTGCACCTGCAACACCTACTAAGAGCAGAAACTTATCCAAATACCAGAGCCATCGCCGAACAACATCCTTAAGGCTCTTTGAGCGATTCTGGGAAGGTTTCTCGGATCTCCAGAAACAAAGGTTCTAAAGCGACATCCTCATTGTTGGCCGTCACAGCACACATTCTTGGCCTGCGCAAATCAAAATGACCAAGAGAGACTGAATCCACTGAATCTGTACAATCAAGAAAGCACAAGTCGAGAGGCCATCATAGATGATGAGCCGTCCCCAACCTCCTCACCCCATGCTTTTCTCTGTCCACAAAGAGGTCAGCAAGTCCCTTGAGCTGCAACAGCAAGTCCCTTGAGCTGGAAGTAAGATCAACAATGCAGTGGCCATTGCACTCATCAAGAAGCAGTTTTGAATCGGTCATCCAGCGCAGTTTTGACCGTGGCGCAAATGGAAATACAAATGCACGATCTGAGATTGGCCCTATTGATAGGTGCAGTCGGAAAGGTCTGAAAAGGCAAAATCTCCAATGTGATATACTGACTTGGGGATGGTCACACTTGTCAAAGAGCTGCAGTTGCAGAAGGCACCATCCCCAATGCGGGTCACCGAGTCTGGAATGATTAAACTGATCAAAGAGCGGCAGTCCCGAAAGGCGTAAGCCCCTATCCAGGTCACCGTGTTTGGAATGATGACACTTTCTAAAGAGATGCAGCCATCAAAAACAAGATCCTCAATGTGGGTCATTGAGTCGGGTATTCTCACACTGGCCAAAGAGCTGCAGCCCGTGAAGGCTGCACGACCAATCTGTGTCACGGAGTCCGGAATGACCACACTGGACAAAGAGCTGCAATTTGCGAAGGCTCTATCCCCAATCTGGGTCACTGAGTTGGGGACGGTCACACCTACCAAAGCACTGCAGCCTTCAAAGGCACCAGCTCCAATGTGGGTCACAGAGTCAGCGATGACCAATTTGGCTAAGTTGCAGCATTTGTGGAAGGCACTTGGAATGATTTCAGTCAAATTTTTGGGGATTTCCACCACCATGAAAGACCCCAAGTCAATCTGGCTGCCAAACTCAGCAAAAGCGTCTTTGTTGGAGCAAATCACACGGTTTTCTTTCAGTACAACCGTCGCAAGCGAATCTGCACGATCTGCCCAAGCGCCAGCCACGGTCTCATCATTCTCCAGCAGCTCGCTGTCCCCCAGAACAATCTCTACCCGGGTTGTTTTGCGCGTGATCTCATCTTCCCACACCTGCCGATCTTTCAGCTGCAGCTTGAGTTCCCAGCCAGTCATTTCTGGGTCAACTTCAAGAGAAAACATTTCGCCATTCAGTTCTACGAATGAGACCTCCATGTGGCGATGGTTTCGCAGAACACGGAGAAAACGACACGCTTCAACGGTACGTAGATGGATGATGGATGAACACATGAACCCCCCATGTACCCCCCCGTTGACATCACTTCGACACAACATGGCAGCTGAAGCGGACCTCTGGAAGCCAGACCCTTGGAGGTCCCTTGGGCGGATCAAAACCAAAACACCGTACTGGTCGACAGCCAAGCGAAAAGCATCGAGAAGAGATGGGCCGACAGCTTGGACGAACCTGATCAAATGCAAAACAACATTGCAAGATCCGATCTGTGTGTTGTGCGCTTGTACGCACACAAAGACAGAGACACACAACATGTGTGACCAACAGTGCACTAGTCTGGTTTCCCAAGGAACTTCTTGTGCGACAGAACAACTCCGTGACCCCCAGAACTACAAATCATCAGAGAATCAACCAACACCCCAGCATGGTCATCAATGATGTCGCCAACAAAAACACCAAGTGAACCCGACCGTCACTCCTCCATTCTCCTGGATCCGCCACGACCGTCACTCCTCATCCGTTCACGAATCGTTCGGGGTCACGTTTCGATCCTCCACCGCTTTGGGACACGCCGCGCACGACGACGCCGCGCCCGGCCTCCAGGTGGTGGAAGAAGTTGCTGGGCAAATCCCATGCCTCGACCGTCGGATCACGCGGCGGTCGAAACATCACGCCCGCACGTCGGGGCGGAGAAATCAGGTCGATCGATGCGGTCCAGGAGTTCCGGTGATTGGGAGTGCTTCGAAGCGGACCCAGAATGTGAAACCAAAGGACAACAAACCAATCATCCAAACGTCGCTTCAGGATCCTGTTACACAATTCGCTTGGACCGAACCGAGGGAGGGCAATGGATGCTGAAGAAAAAGACTCAACTAAGAGGTTGTAAACATAGAATTCCACTGTTACAAAATGCATCTGCAATCTTGCTTCTGCTACCTCAAAGACAAAGAAAAAACATAACATTCCACGGTAAGGGAAATGGATTCATGGATTCATGTCCGACCAGAACCATCCCAATCCAAGCACCAAAGTTGGTCCTGTTTGCTCAGCCACCCACACACCGCTCAGCACCGCGTCGCGAAGTCGTGGAAAATCCGCTCAGGCCTTCCGCAAGAGTTCCTCGAAATAAGCGTCCGAATCGATGCCTGAATACAGGTCTGGGTGACCGCCACAACATCTGGTGACGTCTCCAAACGCATCTCGTCGAAATGGACACCTGTGACCTGTGTGTCATGTTGAAAACCCCACCAGACAATACGAATTAGCATCAAACAGCGCCCACAGTCTGCCTGCAGAGAGGCCCTCATAGTAGCGTTCCTCAGCTTGTGAACAGCACAAGGTCATGCATGCCTACCAGTGTGCCTATCCTGGGGGTTTCACTGGCGCCGTGCTGGTAGGTGCAAATTGTGTTTCTAACTGCAAAGGCACAAGTATCAAAGTGTACAACTAGATGTGAAACCAGTAGATGTATCCCAAAGCTGTCACTCTACAAACATCTGTATCATACTCATACGCGTATGGTCCCGTCTGAAAGTTCATCCACAGTTCCAAAACGAACATATTTTGCCAGTGACAGTCAGCCAGGGCCTGTTATTTGCAGGCACTATATACTTTACCTATATGATGATTTGACCCGAAACCAGTGGAAATTCTCATCTCCCAATCTTCGCTGAATTGAATTATGTTGAAAAAGGTCTAGAATTTGTGCCTCCATATGATGGCCACATGGAGGCATGCCTCGGGAGTTTGGTTTCACAGGTTCAACCTTGGGAGTTTGGCTACACGGGAAGCCTCGTGGAAAACCAGGTCAAGATGGGTTCATGTATATAATGATGCTTTGGTATTTGTTTAATACTTGATACTATTCTGTTGCTGGACATGACATGTCCACCACCCAATTATTCTGGTTCAATCTAAAAGCAACGAATCCCAAAGAGGTTGAGTATCGAAGTCTGCATAGCGGACCTCTCCGTAGACGCTACCTCCCACCAGCTTCCGGAAGTTCTCCAAGAAATTCACCAACACCTCCAAAGGCAGGTGACAAACTTGAGCACAAGGCAGGTGGCGAGCTGGTGTCAGACTCCACTTCAGCATAGCTCAGCCAAGAGGCTGAGCTAACCCCCCCAAAAGAACGGCGGGTTTGGAGGAAATGCAAATTGGACCAAAGAATACGCAGGAGGAGATGTTTGATGCAAATTGTCAAATTGTTGTAAACATCGTGAAACATCGTGAAATTGGGGGAGTGAACATCTTTCGGAGGGTTTGGCACCGTCATCCAAAGACCTGCCACCACACACTGGTCAGGGAAGCCTTCAGGAGCTGAAAGCTGTGCCATGCTGTGCCCTCTCCATGTGTTTGTAAGGTGATTCATTTGGAGTGTACCAAATGCCGCGTTCACCAACCCATCGATTGAAAACCTCTGGTCAAAGCCTACCGACTGAGTCTTGATGAGAGATGATGAGGGAAGGTGTTGAGCAAATTCCCGATGAGATTGCTCAAGATATTGACAGGTTCTCTTTCACTACTTTGTCCTCCACAAAGGATCGGGCGCACCAAGAGTAGTGGTCACCTCCCCCCGATGGATTGGGTGCTCTTTGGGCGAGAAAACGCGAGTGACCAGGATGGACACCATGAAACTCCCTTCCTGAGGACGTCAAGTCTATCTTTCATCATGATGCATCATGCTTATGACTTGAAGCTTTGAAATGTTGAACTAAACCAAAAAAACACCACAACAGAAAACCATAGCGAAGACTCTTTTGGCCGCTGGTTCCTTCGTGTTTCACACCCCCCAAAAACGCCTCGCCTGGTCGGGCTGCATTCGCACGCCCCGCACCTTGTGCACACCTGCGGATTCCGGTCTCGGCGGATCGACGTGATTTGATGAAGGTGGAGGATCGAAGACGTGTAGATCTTGTACAAAGACCAAACAAGAAACATTGAAAACAAAGAGTGGGTAGATCTTCTCTGTGATAGTTTCCTTGAAGAGAACATAGTACAAAGCTGTCGCTTGCCTTTATTCCCTTCAGGGTCAATATGGGAGTATTTTGGCCGCTATCCAAGTTGTGATCTGGTTTGATGATTTGAACGCTATATTATATATATATATATGTGTGTGTGACGTTCTGCCGTTCTCCTCCGGCAAACCAAAACACTGGGGCCGTGGCCCTCGGCCAGCGCGTTGGGGTCGCAGCGGAGCTTCAAATCATCGATTTGGATCACTCCATTTCCTTTCACTGGCGGCGTGGGGGAACTATAGCGTCTACAAACTAGGAAATATCTCGGAAGAATTAATGAAATGTGATTTTTCCATGAATTTCAAACCTCAGGAACAAAACACCCGTCGACTTGCGGACATGCTGGTGACAAATCGATTGGACATAGATGAAAACACCTAAACCAATCCGAGCCGGTCCGTCATGCGTTTTTGGAACACTTTGTGCCCGATGTTGGGACCTGAAAAAGAACCGCAAGCCACTAAGATTGATGTTGGTCTGGGTGCCTTTTGGTTGGGTTGTATGGGTGTCTTGTATCAAGGTTTGAATCTCAAAAAACAGCACTTGTTGGTACTATTGACCATACAACTTTTGTTTGGTCAACTAACTCTCTCTCTCTATAATATGCATTACATCCCTACCACCAGCTGGGAAAAACGTGGGCCCCCCCTCTTATACATGATGAAGTGGTTTGGAAACAATATGCCATTCACGCACACACTTTTGTCATCTTTCGTCTCTCTCCTTCAGCAGTGTATCTGTATGTGGCAGGAAACAATCGGCCCCTCACGCACTTCGCAGGCTCTTCTGGGCGGTGGCGCAGATGAGGTGCTCTGGAAACAATCTGCCAGTCACACGCACACTTGTGTCATCTTTTGTCTCGCTGGCGCAGCAAGTATTTTGAAATTTGCGAGTATTACTCGCGGCCTTCACCAGGGCATGCGCTCCGTTTTCACCACACCGCGCAGACGGTGAATGTTGGGTGAAGCTGGCTCTTCGGGGCGCCGGCGCAGCAAGCCGTCCAGGTAGCCTGCAGGGGGCTGAGCGGCTGGGCTGGTCAGCTGCGTTTTCACCACGCCCGCGCAGCTGTGCGCCGTCAAGGAGAGGGTGAGCGCTTCTTCTCCCTTGGTGCGCACCACACAAAAAGCCGACGGACGGCAGGGGACGGCCGGGTTGAGACCACCGGTAGAAGGCGGTAGAACATGGAGAGTTTTGCTGCCATCTGCATACCTTCAAGTGGACATACAGACCCGGAAAAAACAACAACGCCAATTAATTCCCATTTCAACCTTTGGGAAGAAGGAACGTAACATAGACCAGTCAACCCAGTGCTTGGGAGCGCCCCTACAAAAATGCTCACCCATATTCCAATGCAACGTGTCACCTTATCACACCAGGCGGATCTAGGCGGATCTGCGCGGGTGGATTCCGGTGGCCGAAGCCGGGGAGTGGTTCGACGCTTGTCGAAAACGGGCGGAGGCATGACGTGCGCTGTTTGGACTGCCCCCAGCCAAAAAGGCTGCCAGGCCCGGGCTTTTCCCAGGCACCAACACTACCAACCGCTGTGATGCTGCGTGAGGCCACGTTCAGCCCATGCTGGTTCAGCTTCCATGCTCTGGTCGATCTTGTCATTGATTCATACTCAGTTTAGAGATTGTGCGCTTATGTGCGATTTTCTGCCAAGGCCTCACGCATCCTCACGCCGTCCATTGGAAATAGAAACGCTTGAAACTAAATGGGTTTGTATCGTACCATTATTGTACCACTATACATCTAAACTCGAACAGTGAGCGATTTATACATCCACCCCAAAGCGCGACACGTGCTACGGGCTTCAGCACGAAGATGGGCTCACGATGGTTCAAGAGAGGTCTTCCCCTCAGTGAATCCCTACTCCACAGGAGAAACCACTCCATAACCAAGCCTCACAGTCCCAGGATGTCCCAGGCTCCGCCAACACCATCTACCCAAGCCACCTGAGTTCAACGCTGCTAGTGCGCCTCGCGGTGGCGGCCATCTTTTGGCAGCTGCAGCGATCCGACCCAGGAAGGCCCAAAGACCGCTGGCACCAGCAGCAGCAGGAGCAGCAAGTGATGGGTCGTGACGGGTCGTGGGAGTCACAGGCGCCATTCGCGTGGTTCAGGAGCCATCCGCCGTGTTCAAAATGGGCAGGAATGCACTGCGTCTGTCTATTTTTTGAGCACCCGCTGCATCTTTGGTGGGAGCAGATCGGCTTTGGGCAAGCGAAGCTAGCTTAATATAGCTTGATACTACAATTCGAGGCCAATTGTGCCGGGGAAGGGCGAAAGTGACAAGCAAAACGCCAAACGACCTGCTCACAATCATCGGGCTGCGTGTAAATTGCGACGGAAACCGCGACGGTAGGCCTAAATGTTTTTCAAAAGTGATCGTGGAGTTCGTTGCGCGATCGAAAGATCAAGGAGTGCTTTTTGCGACGGCGTGCTTTTTGCAACAATATTTTTGTTGCCACGGTGCTTTTGTTTGTTTTGGTTGGACAAGCCACCAAGGAGTGGGAAACACGGAGTGTTTGGTGTGACGGTGTGTTTTTTGCTACGGTGTGTTTTTTGCGACGGTGTGTGTTTCAGTGACGCGGTGTTTGGAATTACACTGGTTTCCGTCGCAATTATATAACACACGTCCCCACAATCATGTTTGGAACTCAAGGCGTGGGGGCAGCCCCACTGCTTTGAGAGGAAAGGAATAGGCTGGCAATGGCATTCGCAAAGTCAACACTGCTGAATGTTGTTCGGAAAGTGAAACATCACATATCATTACATGTATATTTGGAATAGCGTATTTGAACCATCTGCAAGCATGGTAATGTATAAGCAGGGGTACCCCCCCTAGCTATACAATCACAAGGGGGTAGGGCCTAGGGATTGTATTACCTTGGTTCACCTTGATATCATCCATGCGCACTCGCCAGCTAAGCACCTCGTCGAGCCTCCATCCACCTCTTCCTCCATTAACTTTACAATACATATATATTATATTGGATACTATTAACTTTACAATACATATATATTATATTGAATACTACATATCATCGCCAGAGAAAGCCGCATGGGCATCCACACACCTGGAGGAATTCCTTGTCTGCTAGCTGGTTGCGACGTGGCTGTAAGAAAAAGGCCGTGTGGCATCCATGCACCAGGATTCAGGAAGACTAAACCAATGTCTTCCCCCAAAAACAGTGTTTCTGCTTCTGTGGCACAGCATGGACCAAGCAGCGTGACGCAAAGCTGCAGCCCCTCTCATACCATCTTGAGCTAAAGTGGCGATTGGCATCAAGATGGTCAAAGAGCGCATTCACCGCTAGGCGCCGCCTCGAAACGAATCGCCGTTCGCCACGAATCCTTCGACGGAGGGGGAATCGGCCTGTTTTGGGGGATGTCAGGTGGAGCATGTCCCTCCTGACCATCCCTACACTTCGAATTTGCGACGTAGTGGAAGATCCTCGAACTCACCGTTACAGGAAGTTACAGGATTTCCTGCGTTTGTAGTAGTTGATTTTGTGCAAACTCCACAACGAATCATCAGATGGGGCCGGGGCTATCTGACTCGGGTCATTGTCATCTGCCTCAAATGATTCAGAATCAACCCGCCACAAGTCCCAGGAACTTCAGGACTCTTCAAAATTTATGGGATGGGATGTATATATATATAACCCGTCCGTCTTTCACAGCCTGCTGATGTTGGGCGAAGTGTCCAGATTGAGATCATAAGACCTCGACTTGGCTAACTATATACGATCCAACCCCTTCTTTCGCAGTGTCTTTCTCGCACATGTAGCCACACGGCATGCAGCGCGGCTCGGCCTCTCTGACAATTTGGGCTTGAAAATCTGTAAGAACTGCTCGAAGGTAACTCGGCCATTGCCATCCCCTTAGCGACCCAAATTTGCCGAGCAAAGCTCGGGAGAATTGACATGGATCTGTTGAAGCAAAGAACAGGCATTGGACTATACACCATTTGACCAGAAGTAGCGGCATTAGGTACAGCTGTGGCAAAATACTGATTGGGTAGTACTTTCCAAGATTCCAAGACCCTAACTTGCCATTGGTAGGCATCAGGCATCTCTTACCACCAAGTGCAGCCCTAGTACTGTGTTTGAAACCTTGCTCAATTGAAACCTAGTATTGTGTTTGGAGGCTCATAGTGTATTCTGTGTGTGAATGCGCCCCCGATCTAGACCTGCTGATGATTCTCTATGACCCGCGTCTGAGCGACCTCAGGATTGGAAGCCCATACAGTCCGAGTATCCAGCTGGAGCTTGGGAACTCGATCACAAGAACAACCAGTTGATAGTATGTTTCTATGATAAGAACAACCATATGTACCCAGGTGGGCAAAAACATTTGATACACAACGACGGGGTTTGCCAACTACAGATTATGACTTCCGATGGGAATGGGCCGTCGTACATGGGGCAAGACGTCATCCTGGTGGTACGGTTTGCCAAGACTGCAAGCTACGATGTGGTTCCACCATGCCTCTGGCGTTCCTGAACAACGAACACCTTTAAGAAACATATGGCACCCTGGTCGTGTCAAACACGTTTTCTTATCAAAAACACTTCATGCAAACACGCACCGAACAAATAGCCCTTCCATCCTCCTGTCAATGCAACGGAGGATGATGTCCGACGATGACGGGGACAAGCTGTAAGGAACATACGCTGCACAGCAGTATGACATTGTACCATTATATGTAATGTATGCACATGCATGTCCTCCTGTCAGATCTGACACGTTTGTCGGTATATCTTCTGCGTCAATGTAAACATTGACACCAAGACCAAGACCCGTCCTGACATGTTCCTGTCTGCACCTAGACGAACTCAACATGTGCTGTCTATCGCATGGATCCACGTCCAACATGTTCCATGTCCCTTCAGTTCATGCCAAAACTTGCTTGTACACCTTGTTCCTCGGCTTTAGATTTGTCATGAGGCATGCCAATTCGAGCCGAGCTATCAAACCTGGTACGTCATGAGAATGCCACAGGTCTAGAAATTGGATGAAATTGGTTGAAGTCTCTACCAAATACATGAAACGTCATGCAAAACTCTCCTGAATAAGGCATGTTGTTCATTGTCCACCCAAGCTGCTTACAGCATTTGCAGTTATGGAGAAACCAAAGGCCCTTCTCCAGAAGCCGGTGCGAACGAACCTTCTCCAGAACTGCACAGAAAGCCATGGTTCGGTCCACGTAGCGCCACAAGGATTGCAGCTCCTGGTCGCTGAGGCCTTGGTACAACTCGTTCATGGCGTTGATAAACTCAGAGAACTCCATGTAGTTGTTCAAGTCCTTGGTACAACTCGGATTCTTTCAGCTCTCTCAAAGCTGAATCCACCAGAAAAAAACAAAAACAAACAAACTCAGGAGAGGAGCTTAGAAGTGTCTGTGCTACCCGAAGCACAAACACTACTCCAACACCCCCACAACGCTCCGGAACCATCTTCCAGTCAGCAAGATGGCCGTGGTCTTTCCCATTGATGAACAGAATAGACTCCCTGCAAGATCAACCTATCAGGGTTTGGGGCTTCCTCATGAACTCGCCGACGCCTCTGGCACACCGTATATACACCGTGTCCGCTCCAGGCGCATCTGATGCTCGTGAAGGTTGACCCAGGGTCAGCGAGGCTCCACATTTGGACCGCCACATCTCTCCACCACCGAAGCAGGTCTCCCACCACCTGCCTATCTCCCTCTCCGTGAGACGTCCCAGCGTCATCGTCCATGCGTTTGAAGCGCCGGGCCATACCTTTCAGCGACCGGTTCTCACGGCTCATCTTCTCTTGGATCCTCACCAGAAGCGCCTGGCGAGGCATCTGACCTGACCTCTCGCCATCGTGGAAACGCCCTCCAAAACAGGTAGAGAGGAGTCGGACGGAGGGCCATCCCCCACTCCTCAAGGAACATAGTATCCGTCTGGTAGAGATACATCATTTGTCAATCGTGTTTGCGGGGAACGCTATGTCACTTCATGATTGTTTCATGACAATGCGTGTCTTCACGCTCTCCATCACAATGGTCGCAGAGTGCCCAATCCTACAGCTCAAGTCTTGGCAATTGGGCGAATGATCATCTTCTGCATTCTCGTCACGACAGTTCCCCTCCCTTTCCCCAAGGACGCCGCTCTCTGGTCCGCAGGACCGTTCTGAACGACGGTTTCTTTCTTAAACAACCCTGGCCAACCAACTGGAACTCTGGGCGCCTTGAGGAGAGACCAAGTTCCATGAACTCTTCAACATTCCAAGGCCAGGGGTCCTCTCGATACTAAGAGCTTCAATGTTTACTGACATGTTCTTGGCCAGTTCTACATTGGTCCGGTTAAACCTCTCATATCACCCACTGTTTGAGGCCTGTGACCTGAAAAAAGATCCGGGATCCCACAGACAGGTTGCAAAAGCCAAGGATCTATTCTCTCCAACACTTGAGAACACATAAGGTCAACCACCCCGCCCGTGTGAGATCAACCACATGCGCCTCAACGGAGCTTTTCTCACGTGGTTGAGGCACCTGGAGAAAACAGCCAAGCGCCACGGGCTTCGCTCTTTCTGTATCAATTAGGGGATTCTGAAATCAACGAGATGCAGAATCCTCAATATATCTCAATGATTCTCAATGTCAATATCCAACATGTTGCATTTGGAGATCGTTTCCGCGTGATGTTTTCCTTTTCGGGTCGACACCTATCGAGGATCGATGATATCGCTTGATGTGACAAAGGAAAGTGATGTCGGATCCACCGGGTTTGCTTAGACCTGCCCAACTTCTCAGTCGGGCCCGCGAGTCCGCCCATGTCTGCATATAATTTTGCAGGATTCTACTCAGGTTCATTCATGTTCATGTCAGTTCTCTTGGTGAATGTGATTATATAAGTGACGTGGGTGGCTCACCTTGAACAGTGCAATCCAACTGAAAGACTAGCCGATGCCAGGCCAAGTAGCAAATTCCGCTGGAACAAAACATGTTTTGACAGAATAACAGCAGGTAGAGGAATATCACTGAAGCTTTCAGTGGAGGGGAGGCAGTCTAAAACCATCTGATAAAGCAATCCTTGAAACATCCTGACCAGGATTATATCCCAACACAGTCTATTTCCCTTGATTCTGAGAAGCCACACTTTGGAACCTTCACGGAGTCGACTGGAAACTCCTAACATCTGACTACACCGAACCACGGCATTCTCACCACTGAACCTTCGGTTCAATGGCGGGCAAAGAGCACCCTTAGGGTGGCTGGAAAGGTTGGGCAAACATGAAAACATGATTTACAAGTAGCCTGAAAGCAGCTCAAGATCGGTTCAAAGCACTCATCAGCAGTCAAAATCGTCAAAATAATCTAAATATGAGGATCGCCATCGTTGAGGACACACCCAACCATTCAGAAACCAGCTAGACTCGCACTTTTCACATACACATTCTTTTGCCAAAGTTGAAGTTGCCAAAGAGTTGCATCTCACAAAGGCATGAATTCCCAAGTAGGTCACTGAGTCGGGGATGTTCACACTTGCCAACAAGCCGCACTCTGCAAAGGCAAGATCACCAATGTGAGTCACCGAGTCGGGGATGGTCACACTTGCCAACGAGCTACAGTTCTGAAAGGCGCAATCCTCAATGCTGGTCACTGAGTTGGGGATTGTGACGCTTGCCAAGGCACTGCAGTTCGCGAAGACACTATTGCAAATGTGCGTCAATGAGTCGGGGATGGTTACACGTGCCAATGAACTGCAATCTGCAAAGACACGATCGCCAAGGTGGGTCACGGAGTTGGGGATGGTTGCATATGCCAATGAACTGCAATCTGCAAAGGCACCATTGCAAATGTGTGTCACAGAGTTGGGGATGTTTGCATATGCCAATGAACTGCAATCTGCAAAGGCATACTCACCAATGTAGGTGATAGAGTCAGGGATCGTCACACTTGCCAACGAACTGCAGTTCTGAAAAGCATCATCCCCAATGCGGGTGACTGAGTCCGGGATTGTCGCACTTCTCAAAGAGCTGCACCCTGCAAATGCAGCAACCGCAATGCTGGTCACTGAGTTGGGGATTGTCACACTTGTCAACGCATGACAGTTTGCAAAGCTATACTTGCCAATGTGGACCACTGAGTTGGGGAGGGTCACACTCGCCAACGAGCTGCACCCTGCAAAGACACGATCACCAATATGGGTCACCGAGTTGGGGATGCTCAGACTCTCCAAGGCGCTGCAGTTTGCAAAGGCGTACTGTTGAATGTGGGTCACCGAATCGGGCATTGCCACCTTTAACAACGAAGCGCAGCCTGCAAAGGCCGAGTTCCCAATCTGGGTCACTGAGTCGGGGATGATCACCCCTGCCAGAGCCTGGCAGGTGTTGAATGCACCTGTCACAATTTCAGTCACAGTTTCTGGGATCTCAACGACCCACAAGGTCGACCCCGTGGTTTCGTCGGTTTCTCGGCTCCGCAAGCCCAACTCACCGCGGTTCGAGCATCTCACGATGCTTTGTTTGAAGACTACTCTCACATCTGATTCGGGAGAAAGGCCTGCATCTGCCGCTGTCTCGTCATTCTTCAGTGATCTTCCCGCCACCCAAATGTCTACCCGGGTTGTTCTGCGCGTGAGTTCTTCATTCCAATGGCGCTGCTCTTTGATCCGCTCCTTCAACTCCAACCCTGTCATTTCGGGAATGACTTCAAGAACCATCGGGTCGCCATTCAGCTGCAAAAATGACACCTGCATGGCCATAGCAATCCACCCGCAAGATCACAAGGAGGAATCCAATGTCTGCCAAATGCCATCTGTATGTTCTATATATAATACACGTGTATTATATATACCTGATAATACCTCTTGTATCTGCTCTTCTGGGAAATATAGTATGTTGTTTTTTTGCGAAGCAATGTGATTCGCACTCGAAATTTCAACCCTAGGGACTGAGAAAAGGGTTTTCGGCATCCAAGCAGTGGTGTATCCACTTTGCATCATATCAAGAAACCATGTTGGTGAGGTAAACTAAGTATGCAAGAACGGCTAGTCTGGTTCATTCTGGTTCCTGCTCTTCTGGATTCTGAGGATTCTGGCAGATCAACTCGGTCTTGTTGAAGATGCTTGGGAAAGTCTTGGAGACAATCGGTGCTTCACTACATACATGTATACAGCCCTGTTACTACTTTTCCGTTGATGATCTGCTATGTCTTTGTGTAGGGATTTGCTTTTAACAGCCGACTCTATTGAACCTGGTACGTCTTTGACCCATGGAGCCGAGAAAATGTGAGTCTAGAAAATGTGAGTCTCAGGCGCTGCAGGAGTGCCTCTGGTGGCATGTCCCACTCAACTAGCGACTCGAATTCCGTACCTGTTGCATATAGATTGGCATCAAGGGGTTGTTTCACGTGCACTATATATATATATATACAGTATAATATATGGAAAACATACTGATTTTCACTTTGGTTTGTCTTCTCCATGTTCCGTTGCTGTGTTCTTTCAAAGAGTGGGGTCGGAAGTGTCAAGAAGCGCCCTTTAAAGCAAACTGATGAGAATAAACGAGAAGAAACACCGCATGAACCTCATCTTCAGATTGACCCAACATGTTGATACATTGTGTGTATTGTTTATCTATGTGTATCTTGAGTGTTGACCAAGTGTAAAGGTATCTCCAGCTCGATCTGCATTGGCCAATCTGTTTTGGACCGCACCCACCGGTTTGCTTGATTAACACAGTGTTTGAGGCCCTGCCGCATAGTTTTTTGTTGGACACACCCACAAACACACACACACACATATGTGATATCACACAACATTCTTTGGACCAAATTCCATTCTTAATCATCCTTCATTTCAATCACCTCCCAGCATCGCTCCCAACGCCACCATCCCCCCTGCCGTCTCAGCGCCTCGGGTGGACGTCGGTCGTCTTGGAAGACCATCGCCACCGGCTTCTCGGCGTCCAGCCGTGCCCAGCCAGGGGAAGCGGGGCGCGCTTCGGCCGCCCAAGCGGTGCCGCGGAAGCGAAAACGGAGATGCCTGCCAAGACCGAGCTGGATGGGCATGGAGCTTGGGGTGCCTGGAAGTAAGGGGGGCACGTGGGTTCGACAAAAGCTTAAGTGAGAAGGAGGAAACGAAAGCCGGTGGAAGTGCAGAGCGTCCCCCCACGCAAGAAACGGCACAAAATTGGCTGCGCTTGCTCTATTGCCACTCTCACCTGTCCTCGCTTTAGCCTGCTGCAAAACGCAGGCCCACATAAATTAAACAGTGTACTTAGAGCATCTTGCTGATGCAAATGATACGATAACAATTCACCTTGCATCGTCTGCATCATCAATCCACCAACAACAACCTAGTTGGTAACGTCAAAACACTAGCATGGTTTGCATCCACTTTACCCAGCCTGCCCCGACCCTAAAGACTCACTTCGCTCGCAAAAAATAACTTCAATAGCCTATCGGCTGGCTTTCGTAAAAATAGCATGATAGTGGAGAGAGCAAAATCCGTTCAGACAAATCGTTCTGAATCCGGAGTGAATTTGATGAGTTTGTCCCCAGTGAACATTGGATTCAAACTCTCCACCACTTTGGGACAAGAACTGGACACTCGCAAACTATCCAAACTATCCGGATAAAGACTTGAAACTGGAGCTGATCGTTGAAACTATCAGACCGCCCAACTGCAAGGCATTGAAAGCACAAATTAAGGCACTTCTTAGACATTGTTTGCAAGCAAAGACCTCTCCATAGCTGCAAATGTTTCTATGGTTGTGATATGTTGTTGTACCATTTGTTTTGACCGTCAACCAATGCATATCTTACAATTGCAAGTTCTTTTTGGAACATGCAGCGCTGGTCATGAATGCATCTGGATTGCTTTTGATTGCTATTGCAATTCAATGTATATAGCTATAGCGACAATGTCTCTACAGAGACAACCTAAATGATCTAAATGAACGAAACAAACACGACCAGTCTACTGCTCCTGTCACAGGGTGATACGAGCTTCAACATTGTGGCTGGGACCATCTTCTATTGTGGTGACTCACCGAGCAGTTCAGGCTGCGCCTCCAGTCATCCCCTAGAGAAGAACGCCGAAAGCAAAGTGTTTTGGATGGACATGCCGCATGCCCAATAGATCCACCAAGCAGTTGGGCTACACACTTTTTGTCAATTTATGTTTTTAACCTTTGCCACCTTCCACTCACATCAGAACAGTCAATTAGTCAGTTGACCCAGGGCTGCATATACACATTTCACACCTCCCACATGTGATCCATCTCCTTTCACCCAGCTCACAAACGGCACACCACCAACCATTCCTCCCCCATCCACCCCCTCTCCCCGAGTCAGAAGGCACCGCTGTTTCGGAGCCGAGTCACTCCTTGAGTCCTAAGGGCAAGCGGAGCTCCTTCCAGGCCTCCTCTGACAGGGCGCCTAAGGTCCAGGCATCCTCGGCGCCGGTGACAGGAGCTTCCCCCCCACCGGCGGAAGAAGGAGGGTGGATGTGTGGTGCTGTCGGCTGGCCTTCCAAGTGTGTTTTGTTCTTCATGTTCTCGGGGCTGAAAGGATATGGAACACATAAACACATTGGAAAACAACAACAACACGTGGTTTAGTTTATGGCAGTTCAGGCGACATAGCCGATCGACGCAGCTGTTGAATATGGTTGGAGGCTACCTGATGCGCCTCGTCTGGCACGTGGATTCCCTCGACAAGAGAGCAGCTGCTGGTCTCTTGTTTTGGTTATTCTTAGAGAGATCGCCACAGGATGCTAGAGTAATATAAACCAGAAGTGCTTGGACCAAAGGTCGCAGGAAAGCCCAGATGAACGGACGACCAGTCCCAGTCCAAGCCCTCGGTCCCAAGCATCAACCCAAAACGTGCCAGTGGTCTACGCATTGGACGTCCAAGTCGGCGACTCCATTCACCCGGCTAGTGCTGTCCCCAAACTTCCAAACTTAAACGGGGGAAAACACAAAAACACCGTGGCCACTCCGAGTGTGGTTAAGGTATTGAGGGATGTTTGAGTTTAGACCTATCCCTCCCAGGGAGCCTGAACACATCTGAAGATCTGAATTCGGCGATGGGCTTAAGAACGGATATGCCTCTATACGCCTCTATGGTCTATCCTGAGTCTATACCCGCCCCTGGGTCCCATGGTGTGTTGTCTTTGATCTGATCTTCATCTGCGCAGGTGTCGGCTGTCATTTGCCAAGGGGCACACAGCCATTCGCTTTCTAAGTATTGCAGTGCTTTGGCAGATTCCTCCACCTGGATGCACAGAACACCCAGGCGTCGCACACACGATGCTTTCCGATGCTGGGCCCGGCTGCTTAGCAGGCAAAACATTCCAATGCAAGTCTTCCGGCAGGTTCCCACCGACCTCCTCAGTGTTTTTGGCAGAAACCCCCCCAAATAGATAGAACATGTAGATCCACGCTAAACATGTCTTGGAAACCGTGCCACTTACTATTTGGGGATCACTATATATATATATATTATATATTTATATCATGAAGAACATCGATTGCACCCTTGGATAATCTGGAGATACCCAACCTACCACAACCTACCCTGTGAAACCAACAACTCTTCCGTATGAAATTCCCACGGCTTTGCTGGATGAGTCCACTTCTGAGTGTTGATTCCAACAAGTACTCCTTGATGTTTTCCCGCAAAAGGCCTCAAAGACGAAACGTCACCACGGTTCCTACTGGTTCCAACAAGTCTTCCAGCTATGAGAACCCGCTGCCGACTGGAATCGATCGGCCCAATTGACCTCCAACGCACCCGCCGGAACTCCTCCCTCCCCAAAACCCGCGCGCTGACTGGGAATTTGCTGTCCAGGTTTCCCGGGAAACAAACAAGATGTTTCCCCCCCGTTTGCAGATTCACCTACAGACACCTTTATACCCATCACCAGCAAAGAAGCCCAAAAACCAAGCTGGATGGGAGGGTGGATTTTTACCTGACTCGCTCAAACGAAACCACGCTTCGCCGCCCCAGCACTCGACCATCCTCGACCCTCCTCGACCCGCCCGCGCCGGGCGGTTCAGCCGCTGACAGGCTTCGAGCACCGCTTCACGGACCTTCGAGACACCTGGTCGGTCGAGACGCAGGGCTCGGGGTCAGCGGTGGGACCCGCGTGGGCGGAACGGGGGGAGACGTTCGTGCCAGGCGCGGTTTGAAGACCGCGTTCCTGCTCTTGCATCGATCTTTCTGATGATAGGGTGCACATATTGATGATGCCCAGCAGCCGCAACAGTTCAATCACATGAGCTTTATGAAAGAGGCTGATCGATTACAAGATTGCAACGCGCAAACTCTTCCGCTCAATGTAAAGCAGGCGGTGAATCTTCAGGCGACCGAAAACGCCGCTTCGACGGAACTGGTGCCCCAAGCTTTCACTGGGCCTGTGAATCAAACCAACAGGTCAGAAATTTACACATCTTCCCGGTTAGCTTGCTGTCTTCCTGAATGTTGTTCTTTCGCACAAAAAGCGTAGGATTCCCATGCCCTCAAGCACATCTATATGTAGGTCCAAGGGAATCAATTCCACAGCTTTCGATCGAACATACCGCCTCATCCAGCGATGATGGACACATCGTGACACATCGTAATTTGGCACATCCAAATGGCACATCCTAAGTCACAATCAGGTGGATCATCACCAAGCATCAAATACAGGAATTGTTGTGCTATGTTGTGCTTGATCTTTGCACTCCAAATCTCAAGAACCATCAGGTGGACATCAATCCGCTTGACCGAACCCGGTCCGACCACCCGACGCGACAACCACGCCTTCCGACGGCCGCTCCGACAACCGGTGCGGACGACGGTCCGTTCCGACGCCTGTGCTCCGAGCACCGCTCCGGCGCCAGGGCTCCTGACAACCCGGCACAGTGCTTTCAGATGGCAGTTACCCCAAGTTAGGCGGTTTATATGGAACCCCCCGGGTATATATTAATATACAAATAGCAAAGAGCTCTCTATCGCCCCTTTCACCGTGATTTGGACATACTGCTAGTTGGGTTTCCCATGGTTTCCCCCTGTCAGAGCAATGTCAATTCACGCAAAAGTTGTGGCCACTACTAGATGGTGCAACACCCAAGCCGAACGGTGGTCGCCATCACTGACTTGACTGTAGCACTTGCACCCGGTCCTGCAGCGACATAGCCACGCCCACACGGGGCGTACACGGCAGGCCGTTCTTCTCTCGCTTGGTTCGAACTGCGATTTAGGACAAAGGCCTGAACCTAGTAAGGCACTTGTTACTACTAGTAAGGCACCTGTTACTACTAGCGTGGCACCTGTTACTAAATAGCTCATATAGTTGGTCGCAGTCTGAGGTTGCAAGCAAACTCTGAAGCATACATCACAGTCAATATAGTCAAGGTATGTCAAAGTAGGTTTTCCTGCTATGTCACACAACGAAAAACACGTTGTGAAGATGTCTTTCGGATGCATGTTCAAGCTCTTCGACTGCATCGACTGCTTCGTCTGTAGTTTCTCAAACTCCAAGTGTCATCGCTACTAGTAACAAGGGCATTACTACTCGGTTCGTCTTGCTTCTTATGATCACAGACTCTCATGACTGCACAGAGGAAAAAACAACTGCTGTTGGACCGCGCGAGGTCGATACCATCTTTGACCTGCAAATGGAAAAACACCAAAAAGACTGTTTGGTTGGTTGAGGGCAACGAACCCGAAGGAGTTGATGACGGTGTCTATAGAAAATGAATCGCCTCTCGTTGTATCGCAGGGTTTTCACATGGATATACTGATATACTGTACTCGTGTGACCTCTTTGATGAGCACATGGACATACATGGGCACCTTCAGCAGCACAGGTTGACGTTGGTGGCAACGCGTTCAATATGGGGCAAGGCAACTGTCCATGCTCGGGATAGTGTCAGGAGTTTTGCAAACGATGCGGTGTTCAGGAAAAAAACACATTAACAACTTAGTTGTGCAGGGTTTCCAGATGCGTAGGTCTTTGCTGGCCAGTACCACTAAACACTTGAGTACAGCATTGTCCAACCTTCTCTTGAACAATCTCTATAGAGTACTATCCGCAACCCCCAACATCTGGTATTTGCGTATTTTGCAATGGGTTCGGTGGAAGCAAATCGACGTGAGACTCAGACACCAAACCGGAAGCCGCGAACCGGAAGCCGAACAGAAGCCGCGCAGTCCGCGCAGTCCGCTGAACTCGACACGCGGAACTCGATGAACCGCGCTCCAAGCTGAGCACGAATGATCCGGCACTCGATCATGCCAGCAGGCTTCCTTTGCCAGCGGAAGCTGAATGGATAAGGCCATGGTTTGAAGAGACTGCAGAACCAGCAGGATATCAAGTTTGGAAGGAGTCTCTCAGAAAGTCTCTCTGAACTCTTCCACCAATCTGGCCGTATATCTCCGTCCATCCGCACGATACCAGGTTAAGGTTAGGAGATGGTCATGGTACGAAACCTGGTGGGACCCCACATTGCTTCCTAAAAGACATGCCTCGAGGGTTGGGTTAACAACTCCCTGTAGCTCCGAACGGTTTCCCTGTTTGATACCCCCCGGCTCCTTACATAGCTCACTCCTAGGGAGCAGCTAGTTAATCTATGGCTACAGACTGGCTGCAACCAAGAACCCCTATCTGCAAAAATAAATACTAAGTACATATTATACAAGTGCACAGCAAATATGTATATTTAAACAATTCAAATCCATGATTACATAGTACCTAGAGGAACCGTTGGCAGAAATTTTTGCCGAGGCACCATTGTGCCCTGATTTCAGCCAAATTCATCGAAAAGCGCCGAATCCAAAAAATAACGCCGAGCAATATGAAAACTGCCGACTTTAATGGTTTTCATTTGCTAGATTCTCAAACCAGCACTTGCCAGATCTTGCCAGTCTTACCAAGCCCTTCCCCGCCCCTTTCCCAAACCAAACCACAGGGTGACCATCCACAGTTTGGGCTTACATATGAGGACCGAGGGATTGGCATCCACAGTTTGGATACCTTGGAATCCTTGCACCTGGGGACAGAGATAGTTAATCCACAGTTTGGGAGTGCTTACAGAGAACACACTTGAAAGATCCAACAATGTTTGCCTAAGTGCATGCCTTGTCTTCCGGACCTTCTTGATATTTCCCCTAGGGCTTTCTTGAAAGGCCAATCCAGGCAAGCAAAGTTCTGTCTTTGCTTCTCCGGATCACTCTCCAAAGAATGCTTTGCCGCTTCGCCCTTTCATGATCCAACCTCCCTTGACAAGGGTGGCTGTAGAACAGCTGCAACTATTGGGCCAACAACAATGTTCTTTCCAGTGCAGCCATCCAAGATGTTGATTCTTATATAGGAAACCCCCACTAAGCAAAAACATGGTTACGGACAATTGCGCGAATTGTCGGGCAATTACGCCGAATTATCGGAGATTTACGCCGAATTATCGGGCAATTACGCCGAGATCTAGGGATGACAAAACTTTGGAAAACTGTGAACAACTTGACTGCCACGATTTCACGCAAGGGTGCCCGGTTGGTTCACGGTGAGTTTATGTTGAATTATGCATGGTCCATGCACAGTCCACTAACTTTCACCTTGGTGATGGAATCAAATCTTTCCATTCACCGAATATGTTCAACAACAGCTTTGTGCCACTGCAATAATTAATAGGACATCAGGGAAGAGGGTTGCCTCGGGCCACAGAAACCATTTGGCATTTCTGCCAGGCCTTCTCTATTTCTATAAGTTTAATAAACGGTTTCCTTGATCGGATCCATGGCTGGATTTGAGTGTTTACAATGAATCCCTAAGCCAACAATGCTTGGCAAGAGGTAGGAACTACTGAAGAAAAACACTGGGCGTGAACAGCCAGGGCACACCTCAAGAATGCCCGGTTCACCAGGTATTTGATCCCTAGAGGATTGTCGAGCCGAGTTATCATGAATCACCACAACCCGGATTGGTTCTGCATCTAATCAACCAATCAATATGTTCAAGAACCTCAAAAACCAAAAACGCCGAGTCTATCTTGGTTTTAGCAAATTACGCCGAATGCCCTTTTTCAGGGCAAATTACGGGTAAAGGCGCTTTTTGCTGAGGTGGCAGAAATTTTGGTGCATTTGGAGTCTCTAGGTATATAACTATACTGTCATTAACTACAACCGACAACTGCATTGACGCCACATCGACACGGTGAATTCACAAGAAAGTTGCACAGGTTGCACACATGTGCCTCGTGCTCGAGCACAGGCCCATACAATAAGATCCACCAGGTTCTCCCAGCCTTTTTCAGTTGTGCAGGAACTGCCAACTGCCCCCCTCCCCCCAAAAAAGAACAGAACTGCCCACGAGCAGTCTCCACCAGGTGGCGGGGAGGGGTTCAGCAAAAAGCTCTTCAACTCCTCAGGGTTCGTCCAATCGATGGAGCACGCGCTCCGAGGCGTTCGCGAGTTCGTACGCTGTCCGGCCCATGAGCTGAGGTGCGGTGCTGTACGAGATTCCTTCATCGAGCGGATGGCAGGAAGACATGAGACCTTTCGATATATTCCTATCGTTGATAAGATTATAGCAACTAGTGGCAGTGGATTATGTACCTTTGACTGCAAATTCTATGACTTTCCAAATCCCGCACCCCAAGGAACTGGCACCCAAATTCCGGGACTCCAACAGCAAGACGTCAAGGAAATCCACTAGTATGCAACTGGAAGGTTTGGTTTTGGCCCCCAGGTTTGGCTCTCTTGGTTCTGCTGAGCTATGATATGGATCCAAGAGCTATGGGTATGTCTTCCGACATCTGATCCATAAAACGATGCATTTCCAGTCTGAGGATCGTCATGCATGACACTGCTTTCAATGTCAATCCCAGTAGCCCTGCAGCCCTAAAAGACCACCAACAGCCTCAAATCTATCCACCTGGACCAAACCCTGCGACGTCTTCGGACTCTTTCGGATCATGTTTCCTTTCGGGATGCGACCGCAAAAACCCTCCTCGATCTTTTCCACCAAACAGACCGAATTGATTACGTCTAGCGCACATGAAAAAGGACTGTATTCGTCCGATCGCAGCAGTCCCAGCGGTCGAAACCGGAAGATTCGCTGCGCGTTTCGCCCGAACGATTCGTGACTCGCAACCACTGTGAAGCAGCGGCATGACAAAAAGAATCAGGGAATACGTTGCGACATTGAGGTTGAAGACTCTAAGACTGTTGGCTCTTGGTATTGTGAGTATACATGTGTTTAATATTGTTTCATGCAATCCTCGAGCTAAAGCGAAACCCAGGGTTTCCCGTGATCTGCAGAAAAAAACACAACACATATCAACTGGAGACCCTCTGTCTTCCCGGCGAATCACATGGACCTCCAGTCAAACAGTGCGGCATGTTCGTCGACGGCCCAACCAGGGTCCGCGCCCCTGGTGGGATGCTGGTCACGTCGAACTGAGGTTTCCTCAGTGTCGAACTGCAGTGCAAGGAAGCTTCCACTGAGAGTACCTAAAATAAAGTCCTTTAGGATATATGACCATATATAAAATAAGCCATGTCTCCAAAGATGCTCATCAGCCATGTCGAATGGTCTATTTTTTGATGGTCACCTGGTCAGCTTCAAATCACCTCAAATCTCCCGACCAAGGCTCCCCGACATGGCTCCGGAGGGACCACTGCCTGCCCCAGGATCAAAGACCTGGGTGGTCGGATAGCGAAGATGGTCGAGGTTCATCCAACTGATCCTCCCGGAAATGTGCTTGGGTTTGCCACTCCAATGAATTAAGACCCCACTAACTAATTGAGTGCTTGTTTTTTGTGGAGAAGAGGGGTGAAAGTGGTAAGTACCAGTGATCATGGCTGGTAAGGTGCAATCACAGGTCTATGTCTAGTGTGCACACCTATATAAGTGGGCAACAACGGGCAATCACCTTACACCGCAACAATAATTTATAGCTCTATAATGTTTTATAGGATGGAAAGCCAAGCAAAAAGAACAACCTGACATTTGCAAAGGTTGCAAAGTATAGACGTAAATTTAAACAGGTATTTGTATGTATTTGTGCTAATGTTTTGTGAATGTCACAAACCTCTATGCTGCTATAATTATATCAACGGCTAATCGGCAATACATTGGAATTGCCTCACTCATCCACTAATGGGCATCCAGCCATAGATCTAGCATTCCGGACCTGGTTAAGGACATTCAAGCTTTACAGTGGCCAATCTGGTGCGGCCATCACCTTATCTCATCATCACATCATCTCATCATCTCACCTTCATATCCTCATCTCATCACCTGAGCCGCAGCACCCCGGTGCAGCGCCGTTCTGAGACTCCTCACCGTTGAAATCCCCTTCTCGTCTAGCGCCGCAGCCTGGAGACCCCACCCCCGCGGACCACGTGCTAACCGCCCGCCACACGTCAGCCTCGAACCGTTCTCCGAGCGCTTGGGGTGTAGGGCGGTGTAGGGTGTTTCTGGGTGATTTGCTGGTTTTATTGGTGGAACACCCACATGATTGAGCCTCCTACAGCGATCTTTGAAAGATCTCAGGTGGCTACGACACGGTAGGCTGGAGCATTGCGCTGGGCTCCTTTGGCTAGACTCACCACTTCATGAGGGTCGTTGCCTTTAAGATCTTTAACAAGATTCATTAACAAGAGCCATATATATGGCACCCAAAACCGTGCTACCCAATGATACCTGCAACGCCGACCTGTAATCGACCTGTCTTACGTCGCGGCTAGCCAAGAAACACATCCGATTGGCTTCCAATTGGTCTCCCAGATGGCTGTGGGTCACCCGGGCAGGGTGGTTCTTGTTTCCCACTGAAAGATGAAGAGATTCCTCTAAGGGATTCCTCTACCCGAACCCATTGGACCCATTGGGAACCCATTGGGAACCCATTGGGAACCCATTGGGAACCCAT